AAATCTGAACATCAAAAAACCAGTAGTTTGGCAAGACATTTTTGGTTAGTTAAAATTTCATATTAGGAAACATGATGAAGATTATTCAACACATGATGAAAAAATTTCATGTCACATGGTGAAAAACATCATAAAATATGATGAAAAATATGATCAACATGATGAAAAGTCATCATGTCAACATGATGAAAAGTTATCATAAAACATGATGAAAAGTCATCATGAAACATGATGAAAAGTTATCATGAAACATGATGAAAAATCATCATAAAACATGATAAAAAGTTATCAACCTTTTGACTTAGTACGGCTTGCCATATATTATTACCATATATATTACCATATACAGTATACCTATACTAACAAAGGCGTTTAATAATAATATTATTTTTTCCAGTCAGAGAGAATTTTAATATTATATAGTAATGGCTCTCAATAATGATAAAGGTAATAACATATTACATATATATAGTATAAATATTTAATACAATTAGAATAATACTTCTAAACAAATTTATTAATATAATAAAACTAGTTTCTGGTAATATTGAATTTGAAGGAAGCAGCACTAAAGAATTTGAAGGAAGTGTCTCTGAGGAATTTAAAGGAAGTGACTCTGAGGAATTTGAAAAAAGTAGTATCAAGGAATCTAAAGGTATATTAAACATGCTAAAATATTAAATTTTTATTTTTAAATAGTACATTTAAATACTATTTATAATTATACCTTACATATAAAATATAATTTAAACTAACATATTATACGAAAATAATATTAAATAATTTAGCTCGTAAGTTAATAGGTTATATTGTAATTGAATAATAATAGAATTACTTATCATTTTTATTACATTTCATGTAATTAAATAATTTTATTTAATGATTAATATAATACTATAGTCAGTAAGTTATTAGTTATTTAAATCTTTATTTCTTTACTTCATTTTATTTATTTTACATAAAATTCAAATAACTAAATTCTTTATTTAATTAATTATTTATTAATTAATTGTATTACAGATGGTAAGTAAGTTATAATATCATATTTTATTGGTTTAATATTTTATATAACTCACAATTATATTCTTAATTTAAATAACCAGATTGTAAGTGATATACTTAATTTACATTAAATACTTTTGTATTATATTTATATTTAACTAATAATAATTAATTAATAATACTAGGGTGTAAGTTATAGTAAATATCTATTTCTATTATTTATAAATAATTTAAGCTAACAAAATTCTTTATTTAAAAAATTATTTTGTAACTTTTTTAGTTGGTAAGTTATAAGTTATTTATTAAATTCTATTATTAATTATTTATATAATATTTACATATAATTTAAACTAACTAAATCCTTTATTTAAATAGATCGTAAGTTATAAATTTATTTAATTCTATTATTATTTAGTATTTATATAATATTTACATATAATTTAAACTAACTGAATTTTTATTTAAACATTATTTAATAATATAGGGCGTAAGTTATTTATTTAATTCTATTATTACTTATTATTGGTGTAATATTTACATATAATTTAAACTAACATTTAAAAATTATTTTTAATAATATAGGGTGTAAATTACTATTTATTTAATTCTATTATTACTTTATTTATATGATATTTATATATAATTTAAACTAACTAAATTCTTTATTTATAAAAATTATTTAATAATATAGCTTGTAAGTTATTTGTTATTTCTATTGTTATATATTTATAAATATTTATTTGTTAATTGAATTCTTTCATATAAAATTTCTGTTATTTTAGTTGGTAAGTTATGAAAAATGAAATATGAGTTATTATTATATTCTTATATAAAAACTAAGACATATAGTATATTAAATTTCTATTTAAATTTTAGAGTAAGTATTGATTTTAATCTTAAATTTTAGTGTAATTTTTAATATAAACTTTCATAATAATATTAATTACTATCTAAATTTATAGATTTGGAAAAAGTGGAAATACAATTATGGATAATTTTATTTTGGAAAAAAAATTAAAATGGATTCCTTATGATAAATTTAGAAATGTTGAATATCTTGATAAAGGAGGATTTGGTACTATATACAAAGCTATTTGGTTTTATGATGATAAAGATAATGAAGTAATTCTTAAATGTTATAATAATTTAAGTGACAATTTAAATGAATTTTTAAACGAAGTATGATAATATATTGTTTATTTTTTAATTTAAATTATAATTTATTTATATTAATATATTATTATTATTATTTTATAGTGGAAATATCATAGAAGTTGTTTAAGTTCATATGATATTATTTATTTTTATGGGTTTACAAAAGATCTAAATACTTTGGAATATATGGCGGTAATGGATTATGCAAACAAAGGTAATTTAAGAGGAAATTTAACAAGAATAATCAAAAGTGATTGGAATCAAAAATTATATATGTTATATGAAATTATTTCTGGACTTGATGACATACATAACCAAGATCTTATTCATTGTGATTTTCATGATGGTAATATTTTAAATCATAATGAGAGTAAAATTTATATTTGTGATTTAGGATTATGTAAACCTGTAAAATCATTTTTGAAAAAATATGATATTTGTGGTGTTATACCATTTATGGCACCTGAAGTTTTAAGGGGCAAATCTTATACTCCAGCTAGTGATATATATAGTTTTTCTATGATTATGTGGGAATTTACATCTGGGATACCACCATTTAATAATATAGCACATGATTTTCAACTTAGTTTAAATATTTGTAAAGGTGAACGTCCTGAAATTATTGAAAATACTCCACAATGTTATGTAGATTTAATGAAAAGATGTTGGAATGAAGATTCGTCAAAAAGACCATCATCTGAAGAAGTGTTTGATATTATTCATAAATGGATTTTTCGTCCAGATAAAGTGAAAGTTAAAGATATTAATGAAGAATTAAAATGCAATATTATGGAATTTATAAATGCACCAATTGGACATAACAATAATCTTACTACCAAATCTCATCCACAAGCATATTACACAAGTCGCTTACTTGATTTTACTAGTAAAAAATTGAATGAAATTCTTGAAATTGAAGATTCACAAACTTATCAAGCAAGCTATTCTTCTACTGGTATGACTGAAGATTTGGATGATTGTATAATTAAAGATATGAGTAATTAGGTATATAATATAGTATTAAAGAAAAACTAATTTTGCAAATTTTTTATATGGATTAATTTTTATTTATTAATTATTTAGATATTCAAACAGATGAAATTAACTAATTATTAAAAAATTCATTTAAGTGATATTTGACATGTATTCAATAGAAATTGTTTTTTATATTTATATAAACACTAAGGCTAGAGTAGTAAATATTTTACAAGTTTCTTAGTTTGTAATTTAAATAAATCTTTTTTTTTATCCAATTATTAAATATAATTATCAAAATAATAATATAAGTATATAAACCATTTCTAATGCTTAAAATTAAAAATAAATAATATAAAATTTTTCATACTCATTTCAATGGCTAATTGAATTTAATTTATATTGCTGACTTTTATTTTAGTATTATTTTAATGCTCACCAGAAGTGAAATTCACCTGGGGTGATTTTTACTGTATCATGTAATTTACAATTTTTAATATTGTATAATTAAAAATATAATAAAAGTACAATATAAATGATCTCTTCTAATGAATTTGTTACGTTTATATTAATGTTAGCATTATCATCGGATTAGTTTTTCAGCGATTTGCTAATTATTTTATTACAATTATTAAGTAAAAAATAACCAAATTTCATTAGAAGTATTAAAAGTGAATATACTATTGAATTACAAGAAAAATATGCAAAAAAATAACTGCATGGGTTTTTTTTATCTATGTATGGACTGCGTGTGAGTTTTCAACTGCACATTGAGCTGCACATGGAATTTTTTACTGCGCATGGGTTTTTTGTAAAAAATCTTGTCTGAGATTAGAATCTTTATTTTCTTTCCAAATCTCTCAAATAGCTATGTAAAGATCTGAAATATTTAGCATCTGTGCAAATATTTTTGAATGAAGTTTATTAATGTCTTCTGTTTCTGACGGAAATACTCCAACATCACTATTATTATAAAATTCTGGTCTAATAAGGAAATCATGCGCTTTTTGAAAATGTTATACGCTTGAATAGGTTTTTAAATTTGTCTAAAGGGGCGGGGTTCGAATGACTACTATAATCATTCGAGCCATTATTTTAACATATTTAAAATGGTACTGAAGTTTACTTTAAAATAAACATGCGCGACATACTTTCCAGATTTGGTATACTCATACGTAAGTCGTCTATAATACCATCATAATCAGATTCACTTCGTCTTGTCTTATAACTGAACTCTTGTTGGAGACTATATGTATTAACTACCTTTTGACATTTCCCAAGATTCAAATGACAATCCAATGTGAATTCTGACGTTTGAGTTTCTCTATTTTCTGGCAGTTCCTCAAGTTCATCATCCATAGCAATTTCTGCATCCGGATGAACATTTTCTTTATCAAAAAAAAGGGATTTTTTGAAATTTTAATTTATTAGAGATACTAGTATTCTTTACAATTAAAAGAAAAGAAAAGAAAAGAAAGAGAAAGAGAAAGTTTATTTTGCAATTGATTAACTGATTTATACTTTTCTGATTATAATTCACGTGATCATCAAGTACGAAACCTGATAATTATTTTCTATAAAAAACAATTTATAAAATAAGTATAATATTTATTAAAATAACCATAAATTTACTAATCAATTTTATTTATGATTCGAATAAGCAATTCCTCAAAATATGAAATAAATTATATATGTGAACCTTGCTTAGAAAATCTATAAATATTTCTACTTCTGTTTCAGGTTCATTCCATAACCCCTTTGATTGCAATTATGGTTATCGAAAATTGTACTTCCTAGAACCATTGTGAAATCTATATCTTGTAAAACTTCAATGTCTTGAATTAATTTTTTTGTATTATGTGAATCATCATCATTTCAGATATATTTATTAAATCACCAAGAATTGCCTGTTTCGAACTTTCATTTATTAAATCTTTTACTTGAGCTTTTAATTCTCGTTTTCTCTTTTCAAAAGTTCAACTATTTGATTTTCCAACCTTTTATTTTCACTTAAAAATATTTCTTGATTTTATCTTTCATCTTATTATTAAAGGGTGCTTCTTTCACTTCTTTTATTTTTCTTGAAATGATTGAAAAGATTTTATTCTAGACAAAATCATCGCTCTTGAATGAAGCAAGACATAAGTCAAAAAAATATTCCATATCATTATGACGTTTCTCAATAAATTCAGGCACAATTTTACACTCAATTTTTTTTAGGCGGTAAATTTGGTATAAGTTTACGATATTTGGGCTGGACTTTAATAAGTTGTGCTCGTAATTAAACAAAATCGGAATACCTTTTTCTTACTACAAACTTCCTTTTTCTTTCAAAAAAAAAAAGTTAAAATAAATTCATAAATTAAATTAATAATTGAAAAATTTACAACAATTTATTATTTTAATACACGCCAAAAGAATGAAAAAAAAAAAAAAAA